TCCTTTCCCTTTCTGGGCAGAAAAATATATTTTTTAAATGCCCACCTTTTGTGGGGGAGGTACCAGAAGGAGGGGACCGATATTGTTCATCTCCGAACTCAATCTAAGTTTGACAAAAATATTACGATGTTTCCAGTTTGGACCAAATCGGATACTCCCTTCGAGAGTTATCGTGCGCACCAGCCAGCCAGACAGGCAGACAGACGGACGGACGGACATCGCTAGATCGACCCCAAATGTTCTGAAACGGATTTGGTCCAAAGAGATCTAGGGTCTAAAACCGTTATTTCGACTTGGCACGTTTTGACCGTATCAAATGATATATACCCTCTGTAGCCATATGGCTGAGGGTATAATGAGGGATTGCCAATATAGGACCACACCTTCTGGTGCCTCCCCCACAAATAGTCAACATTTTCACAGAAAAAGGCTTAACGTATGGAACAAAATCTGATGTGAAGATAAAATATATCGGTACACTCTTTTGGTACCTCCCTCACAACGGGTCAACATTTTAAATAACCATGAAGCTCATACAACGCGAAATGAGCATCGGGTTATTTAAAAAATTAATATAACGCAGCTGTCAACATTACTATGTTCATTTGCTCTCATTTACTGAACTTTTTGGTTATCGAACAATATTTTGTAATGGTTTGAGCGAATTTTATGGATTATCGTACATATCTAGTTATAGACACGATCGACTAGAATTTTTTTAAAAATTGTCAAAGCTATGTAGTGCCAAATCAAAAAATATTAACTTAATTTTTAATGAGGTTGAAATCGCTATTGACAATTTTATGAAACCCTAAGCAATTATTTAAATAATCTATTGAAAATTAATAAACATGCTAGACGAGTAAACTACTTTTATGCTAAACAAGTATTCGGTAAGTATTATTGTATGCTTATCCAACATGGTTTAGCATATTCCCTATAATAAAAAGCGAAATGGTGATAGTTGAAAGAAAGTTTTTAGGCGAATCAAGTTGTAAACGTTACTCTAACAGGGTAATATACAGGGTGAAATGAAAAACTGCCGTCATTTTTAAACCACTCATCCGACAGCTTAAAATTATTCCAGTGACAGCTCATTATATTGTTTACAAGCGTACAAAAGCATTTTGGTGAGAATTTTCCAGAAAAAAAGTTATTCGTGATGGAATTCAAGCGTGATAGTGTGATTTCTTTATATTTGACTGGAAAACCACAAGTGGCTATCGTTAGAGCACTGCAGCATTTAAATGTGAATAAATCTTCTGTGTCTCGTACCATCGCTCGTTACTGTGATACTGGTAGCGTAGCCCCACGTCAAGGAAGTGGAGGGGAAAAAACAGCAACATCAGCAAAAATGGTTCGAAAAGTAAAGAAGCGACTTGATCGAAACCCGCTTTGCAGTGCCCAAAAAAAACATATCGCAATATTCCATTCGACAAATATTGAAAAATGAGTTTGGGGTAAAACCATGGAAATTCCAAAAAGTGCAAGAACTTACACCGCAAAAGAGAGAAAATAGACTCAAAAGACATGAAGAGTTGCTTCGCTTGGCCGAAAGTGGTGAACTGCCAAATTTGGTTTCCTCCGATGAGAAAACATTCACGGCTATGGTAATGGTGTGGGCCGTCATAACAGTCGATGGTCGCTCTCCGCTCGTATTAATCGACCGTGGCATAGGAATAAGTGCCGAATATTATCACGAAATATTGTGGAGGGTGCATTAAAGCCTTGGGCACGTAAATAGTTTGGCCGCAGATCTTGGACATTCCAACATGACTCAGCACGCGCCACCCAAGAATGGTTACAAAATGATCATTAAATGGTCATTAAGCTCATAAAACGCGTAATTAACATCCGATTTCATTTAGACTTGGCACATCCAAATATTTCTATCAACACAGGATTTGCGCTAACACAAGATCTGTTGCGGAGATGATATATTTCTGCGAACCCCTTCTGGTACCACACCCACAAAGTGTCACAGTTTTCAATATTTTAACTGCCATAAATTGCGAAACTCTCAGAGATTTTTTACAACTTGCCATATCTAACATACGTCTCCCAACCGGAAACCTGAGATGAATATGGAATTTAGGATTTCCCATAAATTGGATATAAATGTTCGATTTTCTTGTAATTTTGCCCATATCAATATTTTTTTCTGTATTAGATGAAGCATGAAAATGGTATACTTCGGTCGACCTGGAACCTCACACACATGTTAACCAATACAGTTACCAATATAGTCCAAACATGGCACGTCGCAATATTTATATCATATTTATGTAGGTCCAATACGAAATGGACAATATTGGCCCATTACTTCAGAACCCACTGCATAGAGGGTCGAGAGTTTGAATACACATAACAGAAGTCAAACTATTATTAAATAATCGAACATTGGCTGAGGGTGTACATCTGTCGGCAAAACCAACCGATACTTTTTTACTTGTTACAAATGAAAAAGCACCTAGGAATCTTTTTTGTCACCTAATTTATAAAGTACTAGCTGGCCCGGTCCGCGTTGCCGGCCCGTAATTTTAGTCTTTAATGCTATTATATCATCCACCTTGGAAAGGAGGGTATATTCAAAGACATAGAAGTATAAAGATAGGACAAGACAGAGTAAAATATGGCAACCCTGTGAAAAAGACCTCTGTTGTTATGATATCGTAACAACATAGTTACAAATGTTAAGCAATTTCAACCGCTAAGGCCATATGCAATTATTTAGGAGGGTATATGGAATAGAATTTTGAAACCAATATTTTGGATTATCCAAACTTTTATTTGTCATTTTTTCCTATAATTGTGTTTTTTATATTAACATGCCTATGCCATGAGCTGTTATTCAAGGTAGTATAGCCACAAACCATTTGCTCAGAATGCATTTTGTCTAGTCTTTACCATTTTAGGTCTTTGGTATATTAACTTTTCATTCCATTTGTAACATCACTAAATGTTCGTCATAGACCCCATTAAATATGCATATATATTCATAATCAGCATAAAACTCGAAGTCGATTTGTCCGTCTGTATGTCTGTTTGTTTAAATTACGATACAGCCCACATTATTTGACGTATAGTGTCAAAATTTAGCTGAATAATTTGTATTGTGGATAGGATAAATAATTTGTATCGTGAAAGTTTAGGAAGAATTTCTGAAAGAATAGAAATCCTTTTCCTTTTATATTCGGTATTTCACTGATTGCAATCCCAATGAATTTTGCATATTGAGTTCTCATTGGACGGATTATTGTCATGTGATAGAAGTAGGTAGGTCCATGTGTTGAAATGAGCCCCATAACGTTTTGTCGGTTATTTTTGTTTATTTAAATGTGTTCGCATCTTCTATATAGTTTTTAAATTGAAAAAATTTCACGCCAAAAGGATTTTTTCTTTTATATTTTTATTGGCATATTTTACGCAATTTTTTTTTGCTAGATTCCATTCCGAAGTTGTATGAATTGTGAACATCCGTCAAAACGTTCTTGAGTTATAAGCATAGTAACTAATAAACAAATTGAAAAAAAAAATCTTCAACTTGTTCGTTGTCAATAAAGTCAAAACATGTCACGTCGCAGTATTTATATCATATTTATGTAGGTCCGATACGAAATGGACAATATTGGCCCATTACTTCAGAACCAACTGCATAGAGGGTCAAGAGTTTGAATACACATAACAGAATTCAAAATATTTTTAAATAATCGAACATTGGCTGTAGGTGTACTTTACTTGTTACAAATGCGAAACCACCTAGGAATCTATTTTGTCGCCTAATTTATACAGTATTGTTATGTACGATTTCCCCTATATAGGAATATGCTGATGTTTCCTTGCTATATGCTCTCAATGAATTAGCACTTGCTGCACTAACTTAAGTTAGACATAATTTAGATAGAGCAAATTAATTTTACTACAAATCCATCCGAAACAGAAGCTATCTGAATACGCTACGCGCCTGGGAATGTCGAAGGTGTGTAATGTCCGAATCTAAAAATAATAACCTAACTTTCAATGATGTTGAAATCGCTATTAAAAATGCAATGAAAAACTTAGCAGTTACTTTTAATAATCTATGGAAATTTAATAAACATACAAAACAAATAAGGGGAAAATCATAAAAACGTTAGGATCCTTTTCTAGAATGGCAAATACAGATCTTCCAGCTAGAAATAAACTACTTTTATACAAAACAATTATACATCCAGTATTGTGGTACAGCATATTCCCTAAAATAGAAACATTAGTAAGAAAATTTTTAGGACATTGTTTTGGAAAACAATACGAATCAAGTTGAAAACGTTACTCTACCTGAGTAATATATGCCGAGTTTGTAAGTTTAATTGAGATTCAATCGCTAAACAAAATTATTATTTTTTTCTCTCTTCGAAAATGGCTTAATATATAATTTAATTTTTTTATATAATTTAATTAAATCTTTATATAATTTAATTTAAAAACGTTGAACATTTTGAAAACCGCCATACAGAAACATCCCAAAATCTTGATTGATTAGTTCATTCAATAGTCGGTTATTCTAAAAAATTATTGTTCATTTGTATCCCGAATAGTAGTGGACGCAATATTATGAATTAAAGGAGAGTTATAAAGAAAACAACATTTCTTTATATTTAGAAAAGAATTGAAGAATTATAACAGATAAATGAATGAATCACACATCCAGGAAATCGTGAGAACTCAAAATGAATTAAAAAAAACTTATTTAGAAAAATACTTTGAAGATAAAACTGACCAAGTCCTTCTCTTTAACTTATCACTTTATGTCACTTATTCTTTATATGGTGATCTTTTCAGCTACCAATAAATAGTTAACACGCACTATTATCAATTCCTGCGGTTACGAACGTGACCACATAGCCCCAAAATTTTTGTGACATGAATGGTTTGTGGAAAACCGCCGATGTGTTATTTCCAGCACTTATCACTAACATTTTCATTGTTCCGGCTACTATAAAAACTATGGAGGACTGGGAATGGCCATCAGTTAAACGGATATCTTCAGTGTTTCAACAACATAATTCCTTCTGCGTTTAAATATGTCTTCGAGCGATACCAAAGCCCTTGAACTGTTGTTCCAGCGTCCTCTGGAACCTGTTTTTACATCGCGTGACAACGGCAAGGCCGCTTTCGATTTACCCGACAGTTACTACACCGATCGTTACAGTAGTTCCAATGTAGAATTGCAAACCCGTTACGGCGATAATGTCGAAGTCAAGGTATGTGGTATCAGTTATCAGTATATTTAGAGCATTTGGATATACAAAATCAATTTGTTGTAGATTCCATTGCGTGACCTGGCCCGAAAACCCAACTTGGACTTTGCCAAAGTTATTGGAAGGAAACAGCAGTTCTCCCTGTTCCAGGATCAACATATGAAGGTGGCTAGCCAACTTATTAGCCTGTTCATGGATAGTCCTGATTTACAAAGTTTTGCTTCACTCTGTGCCTATACAAAGTAAGTAAGTGGAGTATACCACAAATAGGGTATGATATGACTTTTATGAAACATTCTTTCAGGGACCGCGTCAATCCTTTGCTGTTCCAGTACTGTTATTCCGTTGCTATTCAACATCGTCGGGATACACGAAATATTCGTGTTCCACCAATTGCTGAAACTTTCCCCTCAAACTTCGTAGAGCCTTCGCTTTTGCAGGATGCTCGCCAAGAGGCTTCTCTTGTACCGGATCCAAACAAACGTGTAAGTTGTTTTTGTCCTTTTCTCAAAGATGAACTCCTTATCATTTCACTTTGTGCAGACTCTAATCGAAATTCCCAGGAATTATACTGCCTCCGATTTGGAAGATGAACAACGTGTTGCCTATTTCCGTGAAGATATCGGGGTGAATATGCATCATTGGCACTGGCATTTGGTGTATCCCGCAGAGGGACCACGTGAGGTTGTTGCAAAGGATCGTCGCGGCGAGTTGTTCTACTATATGCACCATCAAATTATAGCCCGCTACAATGTCGAACGTTTCTGCAACAACTTGAAACGTACCGAAATCATGAACAACTTGCGTGAACCCATTGTTGAGGGATACTTCCCCAAACTCTTGAGCAGTGTTAATAACCGCACATATCCCGGCCGCGTGGCCAACACGGTTTTGCGTGACATGAACCGGGTGAATAATGTTCTCGAAGTGTCTGATTGCGAAAGATGGCGTGATCGTATTTTGGCAGCCATTGATCAAGGATTTGTTCAAGATGTAAGTATGCCAGCGGGCTATAAATTTCAGAACAATATCGACTAATGTCTGCACTTCGTAGGCTGCTGGAAAACGCATACCTTTGGACGAAGTAAAGGGCATTGATATTCTCGGCGATATGGTTGAAGCTTCTTCCTTGTCGGTTAATCGCCAATATTATGGTAATCTCCATAACATGGTTCACAATCTGATTTCCTTTGCCCACGACCCTGACGCTCGCCACTTGGAAGAGTACGGGGTAATGGGTGATGTGACAACTGCAATGCGTGACCCCGTTTTCTACAAATGGCATGGCTACTTGGATACGCTCTTCAATAAATTCAAGACCCTCTTGCCACCATACGACCAAAACCATTTGAGTTACCGCGGCATTACCATTAACAACGTTGAGGCCAGAATCAATTCCCGTACAGCAGCACCGAATGTGCTCTTGACCTATTGGCAAAAATCGAATGTCGATTTGGCTGCTGGTTTGGACTTTGGTCCCAACGGCAGTGTCTTCGCCACCTTCACTCATTTGCAACATGCTCCATTCGAATATGTGGTCAATGTGACAAACTCCAATGGCACCCCCAAGAAGGGAACATGTCGCATTTTCCTGTGCCCCAAGACCGATGAACGCGGAACACCACTAAGTCTTGAGGATCAACGTCTATTGGCTATCGAGATGGACAAATTCACTGTCAATTGTAAGCTTTTGGGAGTGTGCATGTGTGTGTGTGTGAATGAGTGTATTTAATATCGATTTTTTTGAATACTTGCAGTGACCCCTGGAAGAAATACCATTCGTCGTCGTTCTGATGAATCGTCTGTTACCATTCCATTCGAAAGATCTTTGCGTCGTGTAGGACCCAATGCACAACCAACAGACGCTGCAGCTTTGGCTTCATTCCAGTTCTGCGGCTGTGGATGGCCCGATCACCTTCTATTGCCCAAGGGCAAACCCGAGGGTATGACCTTCGATTTGTTTGTCATGATCTCTGATTATGCCAACGATGCTGTGCAACAGACCAACAATAGGTAAATTCATTTAATTTCATATCTGAACATAAAAAATATTGAGAGGTCTCTCTTATTTTCATTGTAGCCCCGATGTTTGTGGCGATGCCTATTCATTCTGTGGTTTGAAGGACAAACTCTATCCTGATAGACGAACAATGGGCTTCCCATTCGATAGACGTTTGCCAGGCAATACTTTGACTGCTCTGACATCGTCTTGCACAAATTTGATGAAAACTGATGTGAAAATTATTTTCAATGATCAAGTAGTCGATAGAACTTAATCTGAGTTGGGTTGTAATCTGGAGATTGAACGACATAAATAAATTACACTAAAATGCAAATAATATACAAATTAAGTACTTTTCTTTTGGTTGGTTGTTCCTTATTTTAATAGGTATGTTCTTTACGTGGCATTTTATGCTAACTTTGCTGCAGCAATTACACTAAGTTCCCAACTGCTAAAGGCATTTCTTATAAATGCAGCTTCGATAAAACTCTACCTCCTGGATTACATATTTCCAAGCTTATAATGATATCATGAACAAAACAAGTTAGAAAATGTCCATTCACCCCCAACACATGATCATTTAGGCTAATAGATACACCTTAACATCTCAATGGAATTTTTACCATATAGAAGAGAACAGTCTCTCTGTGACAGTCATTCTGTGCAGACGTACTTTTTGTGCTAACAAGACCTTTGTATATTTTTTCCTCAAAAGTTTAAACATTGCACTTTGTCACCAGATTTATTATAATTGAAACGGTGAATGGTAAATATTACCAACAAATTCAAACTTTTTTTTCGAAACCCGAACAAACGGACACATTCTACAACAACTCCACGTACCCACACTCAACTGCTGAACCAGCAGCATGAGTGTTGGCAACAACAAAACCACAAGTGCTAGTACCTCCAGCACTAACCATGTCAGAGACCTCGATTGGCAGGTAGTAAAATCCAATAAACGTCGAAGCGAAGATTCCCCAATTCGCAACAACACAAAACGTTTTGCATTAAATGACTGTCCATCAACAAGTGCAAATAAGTATCATCTACTTTTGAACAATGATGTTGAAGAAACGCAAGAGATAGAAGAAGTCGCTGAACCCAAACCACCACCTATAATCATACCTGATGTTGCTGATATCAAGAAAATGTTAGAGGATATTTCAACGATTATTATGCCTCAAGAATTTACATACAAGTCAGTGAAGAATGGTCACGTAAGACTAATGACAAAATCCACAAGCGCCTATCGAACTGTTGTCAAATATTTAGACATAAAAAAGAAAATGTTTCATACTTATCAGTTGAAACAAGAAAGAGCATATAGAGTCGTTGTTAAGAACTTGCATCATACAACACCTCCACATGAAATTAAGACTGCTATTGAGAAGGAAGGTCATAACGTGAGGAATGTCATGAATGTAAGAAGCAGAATTAGCAAACAGCCAATGTCAATTTTCTTTGTGGATTTGGAACCAAAAGCTAACAATTCTGACGTTTATAAAATTAAATACATAGGCAATGCAGTAATAAAAATCGAAGCCCCTTTGAAATCGAATGATATTGTACAATGTCAGAGATGCCAAGGACATGGCCACACAAGAAAATACTGCAGATACACTCCTTTTTGCGTTAAATGTGGTCTTAATCACCTAAGTAGCGAATGTAAAAAAGATAAGAAAGATCCACCTAAATGCGTAAATTGCCAAGGTGAACATCCAGCAAACTACCGAGGTTGTACTGCTTACAAATCACTTCTGCAATTGAGATCTCAACAGAAACGTCAAAATATTTGCCCTGTTATCGACCGGGAAATATTAAGAAACCCCAATGAAGACTGCAACGAATCTTCCCCAAACTCCTATGCAGGCATTCTGAAAAATAACGAGCAAACGACTTTCGGCAAAATAGAAGAGCTGTTAAACAAACAAATAGAGTTAACAAATACCCTCCTTAGTATGATGTCGTTACTAATCTCAAAATTATGCAATTAAACCTGCGAATAGCGTTATGGAATGCCAATGGGCTTCTAAATCATACAAGAGAAGTTGAAATCTTCCTTAAAATTAACTATATTGATGTGTTTCTCATTTCCGAAACACACTTTACAAGTCGTTCATATTTTAATATAAGTGGTTATTACCTTATAAAAACTAATCATCCTGACAACAGCGCTCATGGTGGATCTTGCATATTGGTGAAAAATACAATTAAATATGAAACACTAGATGAAGTAAAGGAAAATTTTGTTCAAGCTACATGCATAAAAGTTAAAAGTAATGATGGAGACATGGTAATCTCATCAATCTATTTTCCACCTCGACATCAAGTTTTATACCGGCAATATGTCGATTTTTTCAATAAGATGGGACACAAATTCATTGTTGGAGGTGATTACAACGCTAAACATCCTTGGTGGGGCTCGCGTTTAGTTAATCCCAAGGGAAGGGAATTGTACAAATGTATTCAAGACACAAATTTATCAGTTCTTTCATCTGGTTCACCAACGTATTGGCCATCCGATCCAGGTAAAATTCCTGATCTTCTAGATTTTGCTGTTTATCGTGGTATTCCATGTACCAGTTTAGACATATCAAACGTGGACGACCTGAGCTCGGATCACATACCAATATTGATAAACATTTCTTTGTCTATTCGATATACACATTTAAAAAATAAACTGATAACCCCCGAAACTGACCTCCGGACTTTTAGAACGAGTATTGATCGCAAAATAAGTCTAAATACAAGTTTAAAAACTAAATGTGAAATAGATAATGCTATAGATCATCTCACGAAAACAATTCATGAATCTGCTTCTCTGGCAACACCCACAATTTCGAACATTCCGAGAGACAATTTGAAATTATCATTCGAAATAAGGCAACTAATAAGTGATAAAAGAAGGCTTCGAAAAATCTGGCAAGCAAGTAGACAACCCACCGATCGTATACGGTTCAATAGGGCATGCAGACTGTTGAAAAAAGTTCTTTCTGATTATAAGAATGACGCCACAGCTACCTTTCTAGAAGCGATAAATAATTCAAAGTATGATGAACACTTATTGTGGAAAACTACTAAATATTTGAAAAGACCTGTCAAGAAAAATTTCGTAATCAAGAACGCTGACGGAACATGGTGTAAATCATCTAAAAGCATAGCAGATGCTTTTGCAACTCATCTTACAGAAATTTTTCAACCCTTTGATTTCGTTAATAGAGAAGATTACAATGAAACTTGCCAATATTTGGATTCAGCTTGTCAAATGGATCGGCCAATTAAGCACATATCATTGAATGAAGTAGCAGATGAAATTAAAAGCTTAAAAACAGGAAAATCACCAGGGCATGATTTGATAGATGCTAATGCCATTAAAAATCTTTTCCGCAAATGCTTAATTTTTCTAACCAATATATTTAACGCGATCTTGCGATTGGACCACTTTCCAACAAATTGGAAAACCGCCGAGGTAATTATGATTCCGAAACCAGGTAAACCTGAACACATCCTGTCCTCATTTCGGCCGATTTCACTTTTACCAATATTCTCGAAAATATTTGAGCGAATTTTTAAAAAAGATTGTTACCGCTGTTAAAAAATGAAAATATTATTCCCGATCACCAATTCGGTTTTAGACAAAAACACGGCACTCCTGAACAATGCCACAGGATCATCAACACCATAATAGACACTTTAGAAACTAAAAAATATTGTTCGGCTGTTTTTCTAGATGTCCAGCAAGCCTTCGATCGTGTGTGGCATGACGGATTATTGTACAAAATAAAAAAGCTACTACCAGCTCCCTACTTTCTCTTTTTCAAAAGCTATCTTGGTCATAGAAATGCTTACGTAAAAGTTAAAGATGAAAAATCGCCCAAAATTGAAATTCGATCAGGAATTCCCCAAGGCAGTGTATTAGGCCCTATCTTATACACCCTGTACACTGCAGATATGCCGATATCTCCAAGGGTTACTATTGCGACCTACGCCGATGATACTGCCATTGCTGCAGTAGATGAATGCCCCCAAAATGCCTCTTTCGATATACAAAGCGAATTGAATGATCTTGAATATTGGTATAAAAGATGGAATATCAAGGTCAATTCTGAAAAATCAAGTCATATTACTTTTTCACTACGAAGAGGAGACTGCCCCCAGTTATTATTAATAACGAACCAATTCCCAAGCATAACACGGTGAAATATCTTGGAATGACGCTGGACCGCAGTCTCACCTGGAAACCGCATATTAAGGCTAAACAAAACATGCTAAAAATTAAAAGCCGCAAGCTTTATTGGCTACTAGGACCTAAATCTAAACTTAATTTAAACAACAAAATTCGCGTGTATAAAGCTATACTAAAACCGGTTTGGACGTATGGCATCCAATTATGGGGAACATCTTGTAAATCGAACATAAATATTATACAAAGGTTTCAATCGAAGATGTTACGATTAATTACAAATGCCCCATGGTATGTCAGGAATAGTACGATATCAAGAGATCTGCAAGTACGCACAGTGGAAGAAGAGATTAAAAGACTAAGTAGAAACTACAATGAAAGACTTCAAAACCATCCAAACCCTCTTGCCAAATCTCTATTGGACAACATACATGAAACAAGAAGACTGAAGAGAAAGCACGTACTAGATTTAAGTAATTGAGGAATTGCATTTATAAAATATATATCTTCTTTTTAATTATGTCATTTACAATTATGTATCTTACTGAAGTTACATAATTGCTGTTAACTTTACTTTATCTAATTTGCTTATTGTCTAGTTTTAAAGATAGATTGCAAATAAAGAAATAAATTTATATTAAAAAAAAAAATATATAGAAGAGAACTGATACGCCCCTTGTATAGCGATGCTCGATGTTTGCATCAACGTGGATGAAGGAGGTATCTTATCTGAGTTTCAGAATATTTTAAAACATTGGCCGTTTGTGGGAGAGGTAACTATATCCCATTTTCGCAAAATTTCGGTAAAAATATTCGGAAAGGTTTGGAAAATCCATAACAAATGTCACAAATTTGTTTGCAATCGAAATTGCCCATCTTTGAACTCGATTTAAGTATAAAACCAGTAAAGAAAGTCTTCAAGTCGGGCGGGGCCGACTTTATGATACCCTACACCACTTTGCTAATTAAGTAGAGCTCCACATAACAATTAAAAGTTTTTATGGGAGAATTCAATCATACACGCTATGATAATAATTATAATTCAAAGTTCAAAGGACTAAATATGCCGATGCATTTGTATCTTTTAAATTGGGACTTGTATTGCCCATTTGGTGCACAATTATAGAGATAAAGATATATATGGGACCTATATCCAAATCTGA